CAAATTCTTCCAATTCAACTTCTTCGTCGTCGTGATATTGCGGAAGTTCTTTGCTCAGGAATGGTTCTATCTTCTTTACGCTTCTCATGTCGATAACTCTTCTTACCGAACTTGATGCTTGTCCCGAGGATTCATCTCCTATGGCCATGAACTTCTCTGGCCGTTCTTCGGCTTGCGTTGTGCCTTCATCCATCTTCTGTCTCACCGTTTCTGGCTGCTCGCCTTTTTCAAGGTTCCTCTTTGGCGATGATGGCGGTGGATTCTCTCCTCTAATCAGCTCTTCCGACTCATCACTTCTTTCGCTTCTTCTTCTCGTGACTCCTTTTCCACGACTGCTTGAACTGCTGCTTGTTGATCCTGGATGTCCTTCACCTGGATCTTCATCCATGTCTTGTTCAGTCTCACTTGGCGGATCTGACGCTGCCTTTTGGCTTGGACTATAATCCTTCAATTCATCTTCTTGCTCTTGACTTCTTTCTCTTCTTGGAACCAACTCTGGCTTGTCACCAGTTGCTATCTCGATTCCACTGTGTGGTGGTAATCGCTTCGTCGATTTTCTTCCTACCAACATGTCTTGTGTGTAGTTCCACGGTGTTCCTGTTGCTTCTGCTAGCACTTCGACATCATACAGTGGCGTACACTGTCTTATCGTTCTGCTCTTGATGATTCCTTGTCTTGTGCTTATCAGATTCAGGTTGTTCACCGAGTCTTTTCCAACGAAGATTCCTTTTCTCCAATACTACGCTTCCCCATGGCGCTAATGTTCCTTTGTACTCTCTATCGAATAGTACTTCAAAGGGTGTTGATCCTTTCTTCACAACAAACCTGTTCAGCAGGAATGCTGCATGTCTTGCTGCCCATGGATACAGCGTACTTTCTGAAGTAATCTTCACTTTCGCTTGTGATTCAACTCCATACACCAGTGTCTTGGATAAGTTCCGAACTGTTTGAACCCATCTTTCAACTTGCAATCCTTGGTGTTCATCTGGCGCTACATCTTGTATCTCTGTATCAAGATTCTTCATCTTCCGTATTCCTTGTACTTTCTTTCTCAGAGAAATCATTGCTGGTTCTGTGTCAGTTCTCAGAATGACCTTCGAATTTAACAGCATAAGCACTCTGCAGACTTCTTCGACAACGTATGCCGTCACTTCTTTTGTCGCTACTGGAATGACATGTACGAACTTTGTTGCTTCATCAACCATCACAAGTCCGATTGTCAATGCATCCTTGTTGTCTTTTGTGTTCTCTTCGTCTCGAGTTCCAGTGAACTCGAAATCCATTGAGACTAATGATGCTTCATTCTTCTTCTCAGATACATCGAAATTGTCCTCTCTTGATCTTGTTGCTTGACAGCTTTCACACCAATCTGCTTTTGGTAGGTGCGTCAGTTCGTGCTTCTTTCTTTCTTCCTCACTTGGCATTTCTGGTCTCTTCTCTCCTTTTGGTTCTCTTGTGAATTCTAGTTCTAATCCTTTGGAGATCTCGACCAATTCTTTCATCTTGTTTGCTGAAATAGCTTGCTTCAACCTTTGCCATATCTGAGTCTTGCTTCCAGTCTTTCCTATCTTCAGGAATTCACATGCTGTTCTCATCTCTTTGAGTGAACTTTCTGGGCTGAGTTCAACTCCTGCCACAATCATAGCTTCTTCCATCTTCTCTCCTAGCTTTGGCAGTTGCTCTTCGATTTTCTTCCATTCTCTCATGTCTTCTTCTGCAGCCGGTTCACTAGGAAACAGGTTTTCCATTGCTTCTGCTGCTTCCTTTTCCACTTGCTCTATGTTCTTCTTTGTATCTTTTACTTCTTTGTGAACCTCCATCTCCACGTCTGCTGCTTCCACTTCTTTCTCTTGCTCTTTCTTTTTCTTCTTTGAAGATGTTCTTTCATAGTCACCATACTCTTCAAGTCCTAGAGACTTTCTCTCCAAGATCGTGATGATCACCGAGTTCTCTTCAACTGCGTCTATCGCAATCTCTTCTCGGTCTTCCCACTTCTCAGCGCACTCCACAAACTCCAGTTCGCTCCATACGATGTTGTCACCATCGTACCTCGATACCAAAGTAGTTCTGAACTTGAATGCTTTCACATCATCATATGTGGGGTCATAGGTCACATACTTGTCATAATCGATCCTTGCTGGCTTCCCATCTGACATGAAAAACCATCCTTGATGATACTTCATCTTCTCGAAATCATCTTCCATCTGCTTGATCAACGTCAGCTTCCTCACTTGTGGTTCATCACTTTCAACCTTCACTTGTGCTCTGTAGATCTTGAGGTCCGTCACTGTTGAATGTCTTGCAAACCTCACTGGCACTTTTGCTGAACCCTTCTTTAGGTAAGCATTGAACTGGTCTAGAGGATCAAGTCCCCATCCGACTTTCCACAACTTGCCTACTGCAAATAGTGGTTGTGTTACATCTCCGAACACAGCTGAATCTCTTACCTTTATCACTCTTCCATCTGTTCTTTGGAATTCGAATGTGATGTTCGCTCTTGTTTCAGTGGTCCTTATTCTGTTGCCTTGAGCATCTTGAATGACCATTCTCAAAGCTGGGAACTCAACTGTTCCTAAGTCTTCACTGTAGTAGCATAGCGGAAGTACATGACAATCCGCTCCACTGTCTAACACGACTTCAACGAGTTCTGCATAGCTTGAGTTGATAGCTCTTACTCGATGCACTTCTGGCTCTTCTTCAATACTTCTGTAAGAACTGTAAGCTCCAAAGACTCTTTCTCTTTCTATTGCCTCCTTGGCATTCTGCTTGTCCACTTGCAGATCTTCATACCACTTGTGAAGTTCATCCTTCTCATAATCTTCTTCATCACTTTCATCGACCATGCTTGACATGAAGATAACTGTGTTGACCTTCACTGCTCTTGCGGCATAGTCCATCACCATCTCTTCGAACATTCCTACAAGATCGACCAGCTATCCTGTCTTCGCATGTCAGAGGCAACTCTCCTGCGAGCGACGATAGCGAACGAAAATTCGTTTCTAGCGAAGCTACCTTCGATAGCTTCGAGTAGTAATAGGTTAGCCAGCACACATAGTCGTAACTCGTTCCTCGTCACGAGGTACGTGCACTAGCTCCTATATCCCACCACCATCCCCAGAACACCTCCGGGACAATAGTGGTAGTAAGTAGTTAGCTTGCGAGCTAGCCGAGCGACGACCAAACAGGAACAACACACTCAGCTAGCACGGACGGACTTTTTGTCTGGAGTGGCAACTATCCCAGGTTGCCTGGAGATCCGATAGCCTTCGGCTATCCATCCCCACGCATCGCCACTCAGGCTACCAGGGATCTAGCTTCCGGGCCTTTCGGCTAAACTTTGACACCCTATCCGGGGTCCCTCGCTTTCGCGTGCCTAGCTCCTTGTAGAAGCTATCTGCATGCGGGAGTAGCCGGCCAAGGACTCGCCACTTGAAGTCCTCCCCCTTCAGATCTATCCTCTGATCGGGGTCAAACTCCTTGAATTCTTCATTGGTGAGGTCGTCCGCTAGCTGGTTGATGTCTCTTCGTATCCACTGGAGCTGTAGCTCGCAGTTCTTCTGGGATAGCTCTTCGGCTACCTCCATTAAAATTAGCATGGAAGGATACTTGGTCGTCATAGCCTTCTTCACAAGTGCCTCGTTGGACTTGTTATCCGTGTATCCGCGGATGGCCACTCGCGAGGTCTTCCTATCCTCGCCCTCGGGGACCCAGAGACGTATCCCCACGAGGGTCGCTAGCAGTTCTAGCGCAGCTATCACTTTCTTGGGATCGCCCTTCGAAAAGGCCCAAGGAGCCCAGGCCCTATCCACTTCTAGCGAGAACCAGGGTCCCGGCTTCCCTTCGGATTTCTCCAGGAAGCCCCCTATCCAGGCCCTATCGGACTCAGCTTTAACGTCGGTGAAAAAGCTCAGTGGTGGTAGCCCAGCGTAGAGGGTCACAGGACGTTGTAGTCTCTCCCCCTGGTCAAGCTTGTCGGCTAGCCATCTCATCAGGACCCGTAGCATCGTCGGGATAATGAGGTTTATTGTTCAAAGATCGTGCTTTGTATTGAGATGCGATTGTATGTCAATTGTGTTTGAACCTCCAGGTATGAATGCTTGCACTCGCACATGTCGCACGCAGAGAGTTCAAGCTCGACGCTATTTTCACACGGTGGGGTAACAAGTACCGCACATGGCAGAAATCTTCGAACTGTCGGTCCTGTGAGACACAAGACTCTTTTCGTCCCCTCCGAAAGGAGAACTAGCCACTCTCAAGCCGTGCACGGCTCACAAACTGAACCTTAGTGAACGGCCTGCCAGTCGAAGACGAGCAAGACCGAGCAAACTGCGAAGCAGAGAGCCAAGACCCGAACCAGGTCTTATGCATAAAGCATACCTGAGTGTCCTCAAACTGAGGTCCAAAGCTTCCTGAGGTAGCACAACACGGATGCAATCTCTGCACTTTCCACGAATCAATTAGGGTGGAGAGGGTGGGTATTTCAAATAAAACTCTCGCCCGATTCAGGGCTTCCTGCCCCTTCGAGAGGTCAAGCTGCAACGGACGAATGTATTCTTCAACTGGTTTACAGCATGTATAAATGAGTTCAATAAAATGGGCAGTGTAAAAGGAAAGCCCTAAAACAACAAATCAAAATTGGACTTAGTTCTCTAAGTCATTTTGTCATGTTGTTTCACTCCCACGCGGCAGAGCACACACAGTCGTCGTCTGTGAGATGTTGTTTTTCTTTGAACAATAAAGCTCTATCTTCTGCAAGTGTTCAAAGAACGAAACTTATTGTTCAAAGATCGTGCTTTGTATTGAGATGCGATTGTATGTTAATTGTGTTTGAACCTCCAGGTATGAATGCTTGCACTCGCACATGTCGCATGCAGAGAGTTCAAGCCCGACGCTATTTTCACACGGTGGGGTAACAAGTACCGCACACGGCAGAAATCTTCGAACTGTCGGTCCTGTGAGACACAAGACTCTTTTCGTCCCCACTTCCAGGAGTCGCAGTGTTAAGCAGGCAGATTTGAAACCCTCTTCACAATTGATAACACCGCTTTGGTCGCCTCGACGGACTCGTCTCTGAATCCTAGCCTCTTGACTCTATCAAGTTTCATCCTCGATGGTTCATCAGCCAGATTGGCGGGTGATGCCACTCTCGCATACCACGGCAAGATGCCGTGGACATACTCCAGGAAGTTGACTTCATCGATAAGAATCCCAGCAACCCCTTTCTTCGAAGAGCCGGCGATGTATGCATGTCTCGCAGCATCATTATCGATATAACAAATCACTCCAGTTCCAGCAACAGCACCTGGCTGCTCGTATGATTCTGCGAAAGCAGCTGTCTTTTCGACCAAGAGCTTGAGACCGATCAAGACCCCGAACATTTCGAGCTCATATATGATGGTATGCTCATCTTGCAACGACATAGACTTGGCTTGCTGCTCTGAGATCGGCACGCTGAAGAAAGAGAGTGCCGAGCCTGACCCGGTGAGAAGGACGCCCCCAGGCCTCCAGTTCCTGACTCCGTTTCAAACGCCGCATCAGTCAGGATCATAAAAGTCCTGCATGAAACTTGTCCCACTAACCTCGGTTGGGCCATGTCAAGGAACTTACCAAACTCTTCAAGTCGTTCCTTGGCCATCGACGAAAGCTTCGACCTGCCAGTGTAGGCATGCTTTGTCACCTCCGTAAGGCACCTTCTTCCCAGCCTACCGAAAAACTGGGCTTGAGCAAACTGCAGCCTACCCCGCAGTTGTAGCGCTTCCTTCTGAGTCATGGTTCCCTTGTCCAGGAAACCTTTGATCGCAGCAGTAAGTTCCTTTCGTCGTTTCTCAGTGTTCCTGACCTTCAGAACTCCCGACCCTGTCTGGTCAAGCTCGAAAAGGACGCCAAGGGCCTCGAAGCTGGTGTCCCACTCTGTCGTCTTATCAGCTGACAGCTTCCAACCTAGCAGCCTCATAACTTCATCGAAAGCATGCGAACACGAACTCCTATCTCCTCCAAGAGCGAGCAGAACAAAATCGTCGAAATAATTCGTGGTCGGGATTCTGGCCCCTTTGACCAAGATAGTCCAAAGAGCTCTCGCCACTCTGAGGAAAAAATACACGGCCTTGGTTGAGCCGAAGGGCACAGCTAGTTGTTGGAACAACTTGGGCTTCTCCTCTGCCGGGTCGTAGACCGAGAGGTAAGAAAAATCTAAGCTTGTATCAGATACCGCCAATTGTCTGTAAGCTCCCTTCAGATCCGCCGTTTTCCCGTACAATGCGTTCAGGTTCTTCTTTCGGGCAGCACTCGAAAGCGTATTTATCAGCAATGCAATTTCATCGATAGAGTGCGTGATAGGCTTTTCAGAAACTGTGACCGTGTCGTTAATCAAACTCGATGAGTAGTTGTCAATTGGTCGCAGCTTCTCCCCTTGTAGCAACGGAAAACGGGAGCTGACCAAACATCTTTTCGGCAATGACTCGAAATCGTAAGGTCCTGAGAGGTATCCACTCTGTACCTCTTCCATCGTCTTATCCCACAACAGCTGGTCGATTTCCTTATCACCCGACGACCCAGTCTTCACCCGGATCTGCTGTCTGATTTCATCAGACATCCCTATAAGTTGTTCAGTATCCAACCTAGCAGGCTTGAGCTTGGTATCCAGCACCCCAGTGATAGGAATGTCCCCCGTCAGCGTGGCTCCGTCGATGAGCTCCTGAACCACACCCATATCGTCATACCCAATGTCTCGCAGCATCTCTTCAAATAGCAAGATACGTTTGGGTTGAAGGGTCTTCCTTCGGTGATCCGACATGCCAGCTTTCAGCTTGGTTTCCTCTGGTTCCAACTCTTTGGCTCTTCTGGCCCACTTCTCGATGTAATTCTTCCTCTGAGAACGAACCGGTCCCGGTTTGTGTACTAAGTCATGAACGAGATCTCTGAGATCCTTGTTGCACTTGGATAACTTATGGTATGGGTGTCCAATCTTACCTGCTTTAGCAATGAATTCAATGGGATCCCATGGGATGCCCACTCGCAAAACTGAGGCTCCATTCAAGTTTTGCATTTCCTGCTGAAGTTGCGGGCTCAATTGCCCCCCTGACTGAGTACGCGACAGAAGCTGGGAATCCTGCGGGAACAGCTTGAGCTCCGGCAACACGCGGGCGCCGTGCGGGACTCGCCAGTCCTGTTTGAGGCGTTTCGACCCGCCAAACGGGTCCTCAACCTGCGGTGGCAGAAGGACATAAACCACCAACTTCCACTCAGACACCACTTCCGGCATCGCCCCACGTGGCTGATTCATAGCCGAAACTCGCAGCGATTTGTTAGCTAAGACCGGGCTGCGGCATGGCAGCTGTCGCTGAGTCAGGCCTGCAATGAACACCTCAGCTATCGCCGTGGCAAAAGCCGGCGGATAACCTGTCTGCGCCTCCGATCGCTGCTGCACCTTACGTCCCATAGGTGCCGCCTCCCTGCGCACAGTGAGGATTTCGGGCAAATTAGACCACACGAGGCTGCGCTGCTTGCTATGTGAGTCCCAAAGCTGCCAATCCACCTCCACCCTATGCGGAGGGTGCTGTGCTGATGGTAAACGATTGAAACTCTCCCAAAAGGGGGAAGACACCGAACCCTCAAGAACCATGGGCAGGTTGTTGCTCAAGCACCCTGCCATCACTGCCAGGACGAAAGCCGTAGTAACAGGCTCCGAGGCGTGTTTAGGAATACATATCATAACACCCGCGATCTTCCGGTTGTCAAGCCATGTTAGGACAGAGTCACACGCCTCCCGCGTCGACAAGTCCATCTGAAGCACTGGGGCCATGGCCGCCTTCTGCTTGAATCGATCCACTCCATAGGAAAAATAGCCCTGCTTAATCAAGGCCGAAGCCACACGAGCTTGACCTGCAAAGCACTGCAAAACGGCTCTGGCCGGCTCCTGAGTAGGCGGTGCCGGAGAAAAGTCCTCCGATACCACGGGAGGTGAGGGGAGCGCCCCCTCGCTCTCTGTGCGCTCCAAGGCAAAAGGCTCAGACGAAGCGCTCGGCATCGTAGGGGGATCCAAAACTGTAGGTTCTACAAAAATCGGAGAATCGTCGACATCTACCATCTCTGAAGCAGGGTCCACTCCCACTCCAACAGGCGGTGAGGTCGATGCCGTGACATCAGCTACAGAGACGGCACCGGAAACGGGTTCTTCCGAAGGTGTCATCTCCACGTCCGACGCCAAGGCGGCGGTGCAAGGCGACGGAGCCGCTAGTCACAGCTTCTTGGGCTTCAAGGGGCACTTCCCCACCGGGTGATCGCCACCGCACTTAAAGATGCAGCAAGTGTGATCGCCCTTCTGGCAGTTCGCATCCGAACATGTCCCGAGGTTGAAACCGTAACAAACCTTGTTGCCTTTGTTATTCCATGCAGATGCTCCCTGGAAGCGAAGTCCCTCAGGCAACCATTCCGGTTTACCGGCTCCAGAGCCTTTGCCCTTGGGCGACTTGCCCTTGGCCTGCCAGGTGTTTTTGCCTTTCCCTGTCCAACTATCAGAGCCCTTGGAGTTCCAACCGCCTTTACCTTTGCCATTCTTCCCCTTCCAGGGCGCATTCTCGCTGTAAGGACCCGGGCGCCCGCCACGGCCATTAGCATTCTTGCCCTTACCATCCAAATCACCCATAGGCAGAAGAGCTACAATTAGGTCATAATCGTGAAGGATAGCCCCGATCGCGGCATCAAGCGGGAGAGTGCCTGAAGCATCTGCCCGGATATCCTCACCTGCCTCCGACAACTTGGAGAAGGCAAGCTTGTCAGCCCGCAAGATCTGACGAAGAGACACCTTCCTGTAACCAGGCTGAGCGGGCTTGGTCAAATACCTGAACAAGGAAGAAACATAAGCTTCATGTCTTTCCCAACTGATCAAGCGAGCAAATGCGTAAGCCACTCCTCTGCGGCGCAGGGCATTAAGGACCTGCTAAGAGCCCTCAATGTCACGATCATCCATACCAGCAGCCTCCGTAACCTTCAGCTTACCGCCTTCCAAGGAAAGACTGGTGGTCAAAGGCTTAACGTTCTGAACCTCATCCTCGCGGCTATGACACTTCTCTGGACCAATGTACTTCAGGCAGCGACTCTCCCACTGCTGAACGGCCATGTCAAGTAATGCATGACTCGGCTCAAGCTGTCCAGTGAGCGAAACTCCGGCGAGCTGAGTCCGAAGCTGATCCATGCGAGCATTCCGCTCGGCTACCCCCACCTTTTTAGGGGAAGCGTGTTCAGCAGGTTCTGCCAGATCCTTCAAAGAAGCCACTAGCATGGTCTGAGCTTCCAAGATCAGGCGCCTCAGAGACGCCTTCTCGCCCACCGTGATGCCTACCAACATGGCCTCGCTCCACGTGTCAAACTCAGTCTGAGATAGCACCTGTCCCGGTTGTCCGACACAAAAGGCCAGCTGGGCCAAAGTGGTGACCCCTTTACCTTTCAAGGCATCCACTACTCGCTTGGCAAGCGAGATTTCATCCGCTCGCTGCACAAAGAAAGGCGCCGAATCTACGGAACTCGTCATGGCTAAGTACCTGGCAACCGAAAAGGCTAGCGAGGACGCAGCTCTCACAATGCACACCGAGCACGATACTAGGACAGCTGTTGGCTTTTCGAGCAGGCTAAGAAATCAAACTGCGCTCCGTGGGAAACACTTGGCACATTGCGGGTGCGCTTGCGCCCGAGCCATAGGAATGCGCCGATAATGATCGCCAAAAGCTCGGCCACACAAAAACATTGCCGACCCCAAAGTCGTGCGATGCAGGACCTGGCTAGTCGGATGAGCCCAGAAAGATTGTTCCTCCGGGGCTTCTTCATCAGAGTCTGAAACATCAGAAACCACAGCCAAAGCCTCATCTTGGTCATCTTCCACCGCCGCCTGCAGGACTTCCGAGTCCTGTGGAAAAGCAGCCGCCTGCAGGATGGACTCCCGAGTCCAACCTGATGAGAAATGACCCGAACGAGTCTGGTCCGGCAGGAACTTACCCGTCGCCACTGCATCCAGTACGACAACGTACTCACGTAGTGCTGCGCTCTGCAACTCACGCCCATAAACTGCATCACTGCCAGTCGCTGCATCCGCGTGATGGCCTAGAACTCGCTTGGTCTCGCGAAGCATCCCGAATTTGCTACACCAAACAAGTGAAGTAACCTTCAATGAGTGCGAACTGACGGCCTGCTCCGTCGAGGGACGTGGCAGTAGATACCTCAGCCACCTGGTGATCTCGCTGCTAGACAACGGGTCTGAAGACCAAGATCCATCCGGCAGAGGTGCCGGCAAGAATGGGACATCAGCCTGATCGTTCGGCAAGCCAGCCTCAGCCCTAATGTCCAGGAGGAGCTGACCAAAAGGCGTTTTAGCAATACCCTGGCCGGGAATCACCAGAGGCAGTATGCGGCGTCGTTGAGTGTCCAGCCTAGACGTCTTGTGTTCAAGCGTCCCTAGTTCAATGAAGCCCGAACTCCAGTCTTCGTTGCGCACGTCTATCAAGATACTTTTGACACACCGGATGTCCGATGCTCGCGCCCTCGCGTAGAGCATAGCAAGGAAATGTGCCGCCCCGCATCTATCAATGACAGAAATATCGCGATCACAACAGATCGCGTGCAACTGGAGAACTTCGGACACCTTGAGGGGTGACGCCGGGCACCACGGGTTTTTAGTCTGTAGCGCCTTCTTCACCACACCATGAATTCGAGGACTGCTGAAGACCTCTAGTTGAACGCGTAGTCCCAAGGTATAATAACTCCACTTGATAGCACGCAGACTACTGTCCAGTGTGGTGGCCGCGGTCTTAGGCATCTTGAGGACACAATGAATGAAAGACCACAAGACTTTTTCCGCAAAAGGCGGAGTCTGACTTGCTTTCAAAAGCCACTCGCAAAAAGTACGAACCGGACCCACATGTTTCAAGATGGTGTTCGGTGATTTCCCTGCCAAAACTGCCTGAACAGAATCCGGGCCGTCCTCCTCGTCATCCGCCATCAAAGTACACAGGTCAAAGAAACTCGAAAAGGCATGAAGTAATGTGAGGACCCGGCGGTACGCCTCGTCACGACGATCCGCGGCCCTAGGCCCTCTTTTTGCCTTGACTGCACGAGTCCATGCCTGACAATGAGATCCACTCGTCACCGGATTCCCGGAATCTGAAGGCTGCGCTGCCGTCTGAGGAACAGACGACGCCGGGACCACTCCCTGATAAGGCAAGTTCAAGCCCTGAGGGAAAGCCGCCTTCAATGGATCGAAGATGCACAGCAGGCACAGCATAGCCGGCTGTTCCCAAGGCTGCCGAGGCAGCGACGACCGAGCATGAGTGATGCTTCGCATGAACACTTCATTCTCACTCGCTCTAGGGTCGTGGCCAGACATCGCAAGAAACCCTGGCAGGAACGACGCCCCACCAAACCGGTCAAAACTTGAACCGACATTACGTGAACAACAAGTTGCCAACAAGGAAACTACTCCGCTGGGAATCTCCCCTCGCAGCATACACGAAGCGTAGCAGACACCACTCAGGTCTGACCCCCCCGAGGCGGGACAGATGGCACAACTTTTCATGTCGCGATTCCCGACGGTCTGCCACTCCCTCGTGGTTCATAAGGATAGTATCCACCACCTCTGGTGTGAGCAATGCCAGCAAAACCAAACTAGCAAGCTATAGCGCGCCAATAGATGACTCAGCACAACATTGGCATTAGCTTACAATAACAACAATGCTCACATCTGCAGGGATAATGCCGCTCAACACGGCCACCCTACTGCGATTCCTCTCATAATCGCGTGTTTTGGGGAGATCAAAAAGTGATCCCCCGACCTGACCGAGCCAGCGTCCCGGCAACAGATCTGCATCATTTCGTTCCCCCCTCCACAGAGGGGGTGCCCCGTGGCAACTCGCACTGTACGAGGATAATCGCACCACCCAGGGCTTTAGCCCGACTCGCGCATTTTGTCGCTGCACTTTCCAGTGCATCTCGCGACAGTCCGACCAATGAACCTCGTGCCGAAAAGCCGAAGCAGGGAATTCCCTGATCGCGATAATCGTTCACTGCGATCTCCCCTATCTCCGCCACGCCGACTAAAGATGGGAAAGAGGTACCATGAGCCATGATAGCAGAGTGTTCCGAGTTCGGATTGCGGATATAGCTTGGCCCGCGCAATTCGCAGGATAAGATCAAAATTCGTTGCCCAGGCACCCGAAAAATGTGAGCATCGGGTCCGACGACCCCCGCCACAGGATCTCCCCCTCGAGGGGGCGGCCGTAAGCCCGAAAGGCAGCAAGGACCGTGGCCACTCGGGATATCACAGAGGCCGGTATCGGACCTTCAAGTCCTTCCAAGAATTCCTTGTAGGCAGCCGTGTCGGGGAACTTTTCGACGACGGCCTTCCAAGGCATCTTCCACCACCACTGCAGTTTTCCTTGCTCTGCCAGTTCCCGAGCTGACAATGGTCGAGTGGGGTCTGCGCGCGCTTCATCCTCCGCCGACTTCCACAGAGATGCGAGGTACGACGTTTCGTCGTCCGCCTCGTCCTGATCAGCCTCTTTGGCAGCCCGACGGGCGTCGGCCGCGGCCACTTCAGAAGGAGTGGCCTCCTGAATGTTGTGGTGGTCTGGATCCGTCCAAGAGGACTGACGGCCCGACCCGAGTCTCACCCGACCCCTGCCTGCTTCTGCTGGCCTCCTCCGCGCCAGGGCTGGCGATTCCAAGTAGTCTGCTGCTGAGGTACAGCTTGCCTCCATTCGTATCCCGGCGCTGCTGCCGGCAGCTGAGGCAATGACGGTGGAAAAGGCGCAGCAGCTCGCGCTCCCACCGATCTTGATTCCCGGTCGCGTCTGCGATCACGGTTTCTGCTCCTTGAGCGCTCAGAGCTACTCGAGGGGGAGCGCCGACGGCGCCGACGCCTCTCACTAGCGAATGGGGGCATCATCGGCCCCATCGGTCCCATTGGCCAGGGAAACATCCCCGCGGCACACACTCAGCACGTAGCTGAAACCGGGCTCCAGCCCTCCGAGACTCTGTCAAGCGCTTCGGCGCCTTATCGAACACCCAGCACCAGGCTCCTGCCTTGCTTGCTGCTCTGAATCTTTTTTTTTTTGGGCCAAAAGGAATTGGCAGACAAACATCACGTACTAACCTTGAAACTCCGAGAAGCTCCAATTCGGGAAGCTCCAAATCGAAGCTCCGATTTGGAGCTGGCAGCTCCGATTTGGAGCTTCCGACTTTGAGGTGTTAAACGGCGGAGAGCAGCTCCAATTCGGAGCTTCCAGAAGCTCAGTTCGACTGGGAAAACCCTCTAAAACACCTTTGAAACCTGCAAGCACTAAAGCTCGGCCGAATCTTTTTCTCGGAGCGGCAGCAAGGCAGGTGCTGCAGACTTGTGCTGCCAAGCTCAAGTCTTCCTACAGGGAGCCTTCTGCAGGCTAGCTCTATCGCAAACCTCTTCGAGCAGCAGCAGCAGCTGTTTTGCTTCAAGGCCTGGCAACGGCAGGAAATGGCGCAATCTGCTGCCATTTCTCCAAAGCTCGAGCACAGTTTTCGCCGGGATTGTTTGCACCACCTCTGCGATGGAAGAGCTGTGCTAAGTGCCCTCCCAGGGTTTCATCTGCATAACACCAAAAATCCTTGGCATTGAAACCGCTTTCACAGATGTGTTGGAATTGATGCAGCTTGGGCATGATATGCCAGTTCAAAGAGTCCTCTGCTTCGAGTGCTTCCTTCTCCAAAGCCATATACTGGCTAGCCACTTTGGCAGAGGCCTTGTCCAAGCCAGAGTGCTCATTCGTTTCCACTTTGTTGTAGACTCTGGCCAAAAATTTGGCCAGCTTGTGGCAAGCCACTTCGTGATCGCTGCCTGCGGCAAAATGCCTGCCTGTCAAAATCGGAAGCAAAGGCACCATGTGCCTCACCGTGGCTGCTGGGCATTTGAGGGTCCGCGTGCTTTTTTTCCGTTTGTTTAGCACTTCAGGTGTCAACTTTTGCAGCCTGTCCGTCACCATGTGTTCTTTGTAAAGCTCTTGCACATCTAGCCACAGGCCCGAAACCCTATCCTTGAGACTTCTGCCTTCATATTTCGCAGCCAGCTCGAGCAAGAGCTGCCCAGCAATATCGGCCGAAATACCCATGTCGACGGCATGAAGCCAATCAGGCAAAATCAACGTTCGAGGGGCCAATTCTGGCCAGTGCCACAGTGGGCACACCGGCTTGCCCATGTTGCGAACTCTGGTCAAGAATTCGGCCTTGGTCAGGCCTGAATTTCTTTCATTCGCTGTGCAGTTTCTGAAAGTTTCAAAGGTGGTCTTGCACAGCCAGCACATACCACTTTTGGTGTTGTATGTCGGAATGTTGTACCAACTGTTCAGCCAGTCCCAATCGCCCCTGAGCTCCACGAGAATGCCTTTTGCAGGCAAGTCCCTCCCAACATATGTTCGCCTTTGCTTGTCGGATTTGAGCCACGGGCTTCCATCATGTCTGCAGCTGGGGAATTTCCCTTCCTTCAAGCATTGCATGCTCCAGAGAAGCACTTTGAGTATGCTGTCTTTGGTTTCATACTCCCAGTGAAAATCGGTCTGCAGCAACGTGAAGGGAACAGGGGATCTGTGCTTGGCATCTTGAGCTGCGGGAAGATTGATCGTCAGGAAATCAAGCCCTTCCTTTCTCATAGTGCCTTGCACAGGCACACCATCGCCGTGGAGGGCAAAAGGAATCACTAGTTCCTCGCCCCATCCCAACTTCTGCTTGATTTCCTTCGCAGCGACCCAAGTTTTGGAGCCTTGTGCAGGCTGGCACCTTGCCAAGGCAGCAGGATCAGCAAAAAAAACTGCCATACATTCATGCGGCAATTCAAATGCATGCCACATGAGTGCTTTCTTATTATTCTTCTTGCTTTTCATTGGGATCCGGCACCAGTAAAGCTCAGGCCAAACTGTCTTCTTGAAAGCTCTCCTGAGAGTTCTCGCTGCGTTTTTTTCCCTTTCTTGCCTTTGAGCTTGCAGCCCTGTGCTCCTGCTGAGGTGGCTTTTTCGAGATTTCGCTTTGCCAAAGTTCCTGGCAAGATATTCCTGCCATAAAGTCCCATGGCATAGTCAGGAAACTCCTCAGAGGTATCCGAAGCCTCATCCCTCAATCGTTTCTTGGTGGCCCCTGCAATTGCCTTCTGCAGGCAAGCTTGCCAGCATGCCAAAAACAAAAGCAAGGACAACGGAGCCATATGTGCTGTGAACCGAAAAAGCTGCGGAAAAAATCACAAGTAGTAGTAGAGGCAACCCTCGGCGGCACCTTGCAAATCGAACGAGTTTTCCACACCGCCAAAAGCGACTCGTCCAGAGTCAAAGCTAAATGCCCCAGAGTTGGGGCTTTGCGAAAAGCTGCAGGCGGCCTTGTGCAGGCCAGGGGCTGCGACCCCAGTGAGTTTCGCCGCTGAAGCGCTTTGACTTTCAGGCATTCTCTTCATCCCACTTCTTGTGCGATGAGAGCTCCCTTTTCAGAGGCTTCAACTTCTCAGAGATGCTTGCCACGACTGCCGCCAGCTTGCTGGCCAACTCTTCGTGATCCTTTTCGGGCTGCTTGGGGAACATGTGCTGGCTGTCCATCACTTCCTTTTTGCAGGAATAGAGCTTCGACTCCAACTCTGCCACCTGTGCCAGCACCACGGTTGCCATCTTGTGCTTCTTGTGGTCAAGCGAGACCTTGAGCAGCTCCACAGTTGCCAGTTCTGTGCTCACTTGGGTGAGCTGGCCAGTGAGCTTCTTTCGCTGGTCCTTGTAGTTCTGCTCATGGTCGATGCGAACCTCGGCTTCCTTGTCCTTGCCTTCTCCAGGCAACCTACCGGACTGGCCTTTGCTAATCATCTTCTGGGTGGCCGCACCCTTGAGCTTCTTGCGGATTTCCTCAAAATCCTCCTGGCCCACGTCCCCAACGTTCTCCTCCAGCTGAAGCTCTCTTTTCTTGGAGCTGCTGCTGAAAGTCTTGCAGTGCTCGAAGTAGTACTGCTTGATTCCCAACTTGGCTAAGTTCTCATCCTCATGCTCTCTCTCGAGCAAGTCCTGAACACAAGCCTTCTTCAGGCTAGAGTAGTCACTCGAGTGAGGGAAAATCCCCTTGAAGCCGGCGATCTCGTCGTCTGTGAACCAGCCCTTCTGGGTGTCGTCTCTGTCCTCCTCTGCTTGCACGTCTGTCTTCGCGACCCTCCTCTCAGAAATTTCGGGATCCAGCAGATACACCTCGTAAAAAAACTGTCTCTTCTCTGCCTGGCTTTTGCACTTAGCAAAAGTGTCAGGCAGGGCCGTCTTGCCGGCCTTGGCCAAAGCCTTCAGTTGCTGGTTCATCTTCTTCGCTTCGGACTGCCCGATTTTCGGGTGAGCCTTGGCGGCAGCCGTGGCAGCCCTTTTCGGGCTAGCCCCTTTCTTCGGGCTCACCAACTCCATCTTCACCGGGGGAGCCTTGGCTGGGCTTTTGGGCTCGGCCTTCACTAGTGCGCCTTCTGCAAGCGAGCCGCCGTTGCCGGCATTGCCTTGCTCAGGCTTCTTCCCGTTGCCTTGCTCAGGCAAGGCCTTCTCCTGGGCAGCAGGTTTTTTCATCTTGGAGCCACCGGCCATCGTCCTGATCTCTAAAACCGTGAGCTTGAGCCTAAGTGCTTCAACTGAAACCCTGGTTGAAATCCGCCGCCAGGCCCAAGCCCGAGGCCAGCCAAAAAGTTCCTAAAAAAGTTCCTTTAGGAACTTTCCGCCGGAAAGTTCCTATAGGAACTTTTTGTCTTTATTATCACAAACCTAATAAAACCTAAAAGTTCATATAAAAGTTCATGAAAAAAGTTCCTAAAAAAAGTTCCTATAGGAACTTTTCTGGTGATTTTTTTGGGGCCTGAGCCCATCCTGGGGGTCTGATTTTTTCGCGGCTGGGGGCTTCAGGTCTGGAGGGCTGCTGCTTCGTGGCTTCGGGGCTTTAGGAGCAAGGGTTTAGGGTTTTGGGGTTTTGGGGTTTTTGGGGTTTAGGGTTTAGGGGTTTAGGGTTGAAGGGTTGTAGGTTTTTATGCGGTGCTTTAAAGGGCTTCAGCGGGTTTAAGGTTTAGGGGTTTAAGGGCTTTAGGTTTGTACGTTTTGCTCTAAGGCTTGGGGCCCTGCAGCCTGGGGGTTTGTTTAGGGTTCAATATTGTTCCGGGTTTCGCCTTTAATATGGACCGCAAACCTATACACCTTGAAAGACACATCCTAGCAAACACGTGAACCGAAACCATCTGAAGTAACACCTTACAAGTTATAACCCTTAAACCCTCAAGCCCCGAACCCCGGCACGATGGATTTTTTCACAGCTGCGGACCGGTGCCGTCTGCACGTGTTCAAAGCTACTTGGCTATGCCTTTTGCAGGCAAGGCAGCCACTGCCACAAAACGACAGGCTTAATTAGCCCGTGTAGTCCGCCTCATGGACGACATTCCAGCCCGAGGTGTTCACAGACATCGCAGATTGCGACATATGCGATACTCAACGTGTCGTGGCCAGAAATGTCTCCTGCAGGCAAGCTGCTTGCAGCACCTGTGCCTTCTGCAGGCAAGCTGCTTGCAGCACCTGTGCCTTCTGCAGGCAAGCTGACCGAAACGGGAGCAGCCCCATCATCAACAACGTCAGGCTTCTTTTCCTCATCAGAGGATTCGGCCTTCGTATCGCCTTCTTCAGGCGAGGCCAGCCTTGGGCCAGGATCGCTCTGTGTCTCCCTTGGATCGACCGTGTCCATGAGACTGCTGCTGTTGGACTCCTCGGCAGTTTGGCCTTCTGCAGGCCGGGCAGCTGGCCTGGGGCCTGCACTGCTGCCACTTGGCCTCGGGCCGTCGTCCGGCCGGCTGCTCTCGCTGGAGCTGCTGCTGGAGCTGCTGCTGCTGCTGTTGCTGATGCCCGGCCCTTCATCGAGAGTGAATCCTTGCCGGCGGCGAAATTCGACCTCATGCCGAACTTGTTTTGCCCAGCGGGCAAATTGTGCCACCCTGCCGGGTTCGCCGGAAAACAACCAGGGCGGAAGCGGAATTCCTTCTCGTTCCAAAAAGCGCCGCAGGTTCCGCCTGACTTGGGATCTAAACCCTCTCGCGTCAAACCGGCTGCATCTTGGAAGCAGCTGGCCCAAGATCTCCAAGGCCTTCTGCAGGCCAGAGTCTTCCTCATGAGCATCTCCATCGTCGGGCTCCGTCTTTGCCTGCTTGAGGTCCGCCTGCCCGTCCGGACCCCTACTGCCTGAGCTGCCGCTGCCACTGCTGCAGCTGGTGCCTTGTGCAGGCAAGGGACAACTCCCACTGGGGCCTTGTGCAGGCCAGGGTGAAGTCCCACTGCCATCTGCTGGCGAGGGCCAGGGTCCCACATATTGGCCATGTTGCCACATGGCCTGATCCCAGCCATTGCTGAAGACCGGCTCAGGCAACCACCCGTGCGGGCCCGTCTGGAGCCAGGCACCGGTGGGAAGGTGCTGCCTCCACCACCTGCCGTGCCAGTCCTCCTCCGGCACACCCCAGATCTCGGCCAAAGGCCAGTCGACGACTGCGAGCACCGTCATCAAAAGGCACATCATGATGGCCTTCTGCAGGCCAGGGCCATTGCCCATGAGAGCCTTCTGCAGGCTAGCCAGCATGGCAAAACCCAGAAAGCTAAAGGGAGATCTAACAGTTGCTACCTGCAAAGCTTGAGCTCTCAAAATGCGGACGAACAAAGTATTCAACAGACAAACTCGACACATGCACTGCACTTCGACATGACCTGCTTCAAAATACAAAACATGAAAAGCTTTCCCAAACAAAAACCGTTAAAAAACCGTTCTAAAAATTTAGGGCTTTATATGATTTGGGGTTTTAGGGTTTAGGGTTTAGGGGCGACCTGCGATTTGCGATTTTTTTGCACCAGCCGAAGCGAGAGCCATGTGAAGTCGCGGGAACTGCCTTTGCAGGCAAGCATGCACAGTGCATTAATATCCAGTCCTGGCCCCCCCATCCTACTGCAGCAGAAGGTGCCAAGCACACAGCTAGCCTTGCACAGGCTCGGCCTGGGCTGCGGCCAAAAGGGCAACCCTCATCTTGTCCCGCTGGGCGATCACATCCTCCTTGGTCAAGCCAGCTTCCTCCTGGCACACCCACTCCATGAGCTGCCTCACGATAGCAGCATGGTCACCCAAGCCCTGACAGTTCACCAGCGACTTCTCTTTCGAGGCTTTGTCCTCTTTGAACACGATGTACGACTTGTTTCTGGCAAAGGTTGGCTTGACCAAGCCGAAGCTCTTCGACTCCTTCCAGGGGTTGGCCTTGTGCAGGCCAGCAGGCCTCTTGCAAGACTGGGCTTTCGCTTTGGCCTTTGCTTTGGCTTTGCCCTTCGCCTTAGCTTTGTTCTTTTTCTCAGTCTGCCCCAAGCTTTTCACAGGAGTGCTAGCGGCCGAACTTGACTCAACAACCTCTGCACTCGAGGGTACACTAGCAGCAACGGATCCGATCGAAGGCTCTTTCCTCAAGATCCTTCGTTTGGGCGGTGTCGCTTCTGCCACTGCAGTAGGTGCAACTGCAGCAACCTCGGGCTGCGAGTCCGTACCCGTAGTAGAGATCCTTCGCACAGGACGTGCAGATGCAGGCTCCTTCAAAGCCTGCAACAACTCTTTCAACCACGATGCCATCTGCTCGCCTGTCTTGGAATTTCGGTCTTTTCTGTTGCACATCGATTTCACTGCAGCGATCTTCTTCAAAACCGAATTTCGGCTGGCCTTGTCCAGGCCAGGGAAAGCTTCTTGCCATATCTTCCTTGTCACTTCAATGCTCGTTGGAGGCTGCCTAAACCAAAGGCAAAGGAATTTATGGTGCCTTTCGCCGACTTCCTCTGGGGTACCGTTCCACAAGCTTTCTTTCATGTCTTTGCCACCGAAGCTGCCCCGGAGCATGGCCGCAATACTCCTGATTTGATCCATTTCCATGCTCTTGCTGCCGCCTTGTGCAGGCGAGCTGGGCCCAGCAGCACTGCTGGCCATGCCTTCTGCAGGCGAGCCACCTGGCTTGCCTTGCCCTGCTTTCACAGCCCTACCTAACAACATCGCTCCCTGCGATATTCTCGAGCCGAAAGTCGTCTTGCAGGCATATGCATCAGGAAGACTACCTGCAAATTTAACAAGCACAAAAAGAACCCAGAAGCTCGATTTGGAAGCTCCGATTTGGAGCTTCCGAGAAGCTCCGAATTGGAGCTGCTGACACTGTTCAAGCATCGAAACACGGAAGCTCCAAATCGGAGCTGGCAGCTCCAATTTGAACCCGGAAGCTCCAAATAGAAGCTCCAATTCGGAGCTGGCAGCTGCAAATCGGAGCTGGAAGCTCCAAATTGGAGCTGCTCGGCAGCGTCGTTTCGGCGCTGCCAGCTCCGATTTGGAGCGGCCGCTCCGAATCGGAGCTTCTTGGAGTTTCAAGGAAGGTGCCTCTGCACGCACGCAACCTCTGGCGTACACACTCACATCGAAAGCGCTCTTGCGCATGTTTTCGCTCGAGGTCCCTAGCGCTGTCTCTGCACGCAGGCGTCCCGCCTGAGCATACAGAAAAACTCGCAAAACCGAAGCTAATTACGACACCATCTCTCCACATTCCGAAGCGTGGGTACAACGATCTGGGGTCCTGGCGACGCGCGAACTAGCATCTTCGCAACCGCGCGCGTCTTGCCAACTCGCGGCGGGAGAGGCCCCGGCCGCCATACCGCAACGAAGGTGAACTCTCCAGAAATCTGCAGTTCCTCAGGGGCCATCTGCATGCCTGATTCAGCAACTGGCACGATGTTCGTAGCAGACTCATTGGAGCTGCTCGCCTGTTGCTGTGTATTAAGTTCAACAATCTCTGCAGAGTCCGAGCTCTTCACACGCTTCTTGCCCGCCTTCCTAGAGGGCTTCTTGCGGGCTCGCCGGTCCCGTCCGTCCTTCTTTTTCTTCTTTTTGTCTGGTCGTTTCGTCTGAGCAGGGTCGTCCAGAAAATCAAAAGCTGAGCTCCACGACGACATTTCAGCTTCAGTCTCCAAAACCTCTGCCGAATTAGCAGTATCCGACATCCCCGCTGAGTTGCTGGCAATTGCCTGAGACACAACGGCTGCAAACGTAGAGCAAAAAGAGGACCTGTGCATTCCCATCCTGCCTGCATGCTGCCTCGTCACATATCGCTCTTAGGCTGCAGCAAACCCTCCTGTCAGCGAAACATCGGGCTTGTTTTCTTCGGTTCGAGCCGAAGCCATGTGTCTGCAATAATACTGATTAGTATCCTGCAGGCAAATACTCGCATGCACTTGTCTTGGCCAAAACGAGCAGCGATTGCTGGGCAATGCTGCTGTGCTCTGATCGGGCAACAAAAACACCTCAGTGCAAGTTACATCTGATAGCGATTAATTACGGGCGTCCGGCTCAGGAGACTCTCCCCGTTTGCGTTTCCTGAGAGCTGGCTCCGAGGTGGCTTCCGTTGCAATAGCTCGACCAGGATCGTCTCGTCGGGAATCTTCCCGTCTTGCTAACTCCAAGCTACGCCATAGCGTATGCCAGACTTGCGCCCACCGGCCCTGCGCGTCCACATGCCAAAACCACCTGCGACCCTCCATGACACACAAGGAAAAACGCTCAGGCCCAACTGACATAGCACATCTGGCTTGCTCTCTCACACTCCGAGAACAGCACAAATGATCAGCGAGTCCCCGCTCAGACTTTTATGCAGTGCGAACGAAGCGCACAGGTGACAACGTGTTGGCCACTAGCACTGGAGCTGAAAAACTCAGGCGCCTGCCATCCTGGACCAACGGCCATGCAAAGTCTCACTACGGGAGCTGAGGTTCCAGCCATCCTCGAGGAACATGCTCCGGATCAGAATTGCGGCCAGCCCGAAACTTCCAATGAAGAAAGCAAGAAACGAGCATCTGCTGAGACTCCAACCGCGACACGCGATCGAAAAGGCGGTCAGCAAGCATGAGCTGCATTCTATGCAGCCGACTGATCTGGATCTGTAACCCACGCATGTGGTGTAACACAAAGCTCTCAGTGGATGTAAACGAATCCGAGGGTGTCGGCGCCTCTGCTTCTCCGCCGGTCACTTCAGGTGATTGCATACTCCTGAAACACAGGCCAGTACTTCGGTCACACACCGAAAAAGCAACAAAGCTCCAGCTAAGTAGGCAACCGCGAGATCACTCTGCAAGTTGAGCAGGATACTGTAAGCTCAAAGCTCAAGACGCACTCAAGCAGAAGATTCACTTCATCAAGACCTCCCAGCGAGAGACTGAGGCACAAGCATCCGGCCCGCCCCCCTATTTCAAATAAAACTCTCGCCCGATTCAGGGCTTCCTGCCCCTTCGAGAGGTCAAGCTGCAACGGACGAATGTATTCTTCAACTGGTTTACAGCATGTATAAATGAGTTCAATAAAATGGGCAGTGTAAAAGGAAAGCCCTAAAACAACAAATCAAAATTGGACTTAGTTCTCTAAGTCATTTTGTCATGTTGTTTTTCTTTGAACAATAAAGCTCTATCTTCTGCAAGTGTTCAAAGAACGAAACATCCAGTCTTCTTCTGGATAGCCGCGCTCCAGGCATGGAGAGGCCCTAGGAAGGGCCTCTGCCAGTCGAGGGCTATGGCAGCAACGAGTCTTCGCCCACTTGAAGGGATATCCCAGGACGGAAAGAAGGAGGTAACTCAGAGGAATCCCTTTCCTCCCCTCCGTCCCTATCCCTCGGGCCTCGAGGTCATCGGCATATAGCAGGAGGTCGATGGGGTAGCCGGGACCCAACAGGTGATGGGTCGCCCGTAGCCCACATGCGGCTTTCCTTGTCCACCAGTAGCTCGCCGGAAAGAGCCCGAAGGTGCCCACCTTGTTGGCGTAGACGATCTGGCTATCCGGGTCCCCGGGAATCGTCTCCTCGGTGTCTATCTGGCAGCCCATGAAGCCATGTTCACTAGCCTGATGCTTGTATCGCCGATGGGCTTTCGAAATATCCCCCACCACCGAAAAGGCAATCTCGCCACATCGGATCAGCTCGCGGAGGATCTGCTTCTTCTCTCTAGCCCCCGGAGCCCGGATCTTATCTCTACAACGTATCCGGTGGTTCACCCTGACGCCGTGGGTCGCATCTTGGATTATCCTCTTCTTGTCCTTCTCCTCGTCCTCGACTATCACGGCCAGGGAAGCAATCGCCCTGTGCTCGCCAAATCTCGCCTTGAACTCGCCGAGGGTCATCTTCTCCATGAGGCCCTCGTCGAATTTAGCCCGCACAAAATTTCGGTGGTCGCCTATAGCTATATATATATATATATATATCCAGCACGGGCTGTTCGACCTTATAAACGCTCATCCACCTTATAATGCTAATCGACCTTATAAATGTGTGTCCGATCTTGTAGCAATTGGCCCCAGAAGTTATCATGGCAGAAACGACCAATTGAACGCCGGATTGTATCCGATCTAAACACTATATCAACGATTTCATGGGCAAGTGTGGAATGTGAAGACCGATGTGGGCTTTCATACATGGTTCAACACTGAGATTATGCTATGAGCACGAGTCCGTCGCTCATCGTCCAATGAAATATTGTTGATGTGAAGTTGTTGCTGTACGTTGGCCCGCTATGAGCAGAGACCGCTCGCTCCGTGTCCAATCATTTAAGTTGTTGTTGTTGTTCGCCCGCTATGAGCAGAGACCGCTCGCTCCGTGTCTTTAAAATTGTTGTTGCTGTTGCTGTTGTTGTGGTTGTTGTTGTTGTTGGTGGTGGTGGTGGTGGCGGTTGCCGTGGTGGTTGGTGTTAACTGGTGATTCGTGATTCGTGGTTGGTGTTGATGTTGGGGGTTTTGGTTTCTGCGTGTGGGTGCGGGGTGGATGGGTGGATGGGTGGTTGGGTCGGTGTTTGTGTGTGTGTGCGGTTTTTTTTTGGTGTGTGTGTGTGTGTGCGTGTGCAGGTGTGTGTGTGTGTGTGTGTGTGTGCAAGTGTGTGCAAGTGTGTGCAAGTGTGTGCAAGTGTGTGCAAGTGTGTGCAAGTGTGTGTGTGTGTGTGTGTGTGTGTGTCTGTGGGCGAGTGTGTGAGAGAGATCAGAGAAAGATCAGAGAGAGAGTGCTGTGCTCGATGTGAGTCAAGTTTGGAACATGGCAGTGCAGTCTTGCTCATGTTCATGCTGTGTGCGAGTTGAGGAACCTCCGAATTGCAGGTAATTTCTGCTCCGGATGATCATGATCATGATGACACATGTGCAGCAGGAACAAACAGTGCCGAGGACGACCTGTGATGCTACATATCTAGTGCTGGGCGATGTGTACCTATATGTAGGTGTAAGATTTTGCAGTACATCGACTGCTTCTTAATCACAACCTGTGAAAACATTTCGACACATATCCTTGCAACCATGGTGGTACCGAGTTCTCTCCGTGGGGAAAAAGTTGCATACCTGGCTGACAAGATATATGTCAACTTGGTGGATGGAGACCAGAACCGCATCGCACTATCGGGAATGCTGTCGCCCACGAATTCCTTGCGGCACAAAACAACTCGTGAGCGCTTCAGTTGGGTGCAAAATGAGTTTTCGGGGGAACGCCTGTTCACACAGGCCATGATTCGTGACGCCATCGCGAAGATGGCACTCGACAAGTCGATTTTCCTGGTCGTTCCGCAGACTCCGGGGTTCAGTGAGAAGGCATGGATCGAAGGCCAAGCAAAGGTGATTCATGGCTTATTGAAGAAAGTGGCTGGTCTTAAATTATTTGCAGTGGCATGTCGGTTGATTATATGCTTTTTGGGCTCTTCACGATTCACTGTAGACATACAACGCCAGGAAGTCGACAGCATCCATGCAGACTGAGACTTCTGAGAATCCTCAGGACTTTGCCATCTGTTTCTACTAATGTGTGCACACTTTTATAAATATGCATGTGTAACATGAAGTCTACATATATATGTGTATAATGTACATATTATCGAATATATGTGGTAGCACTGTAGACACTGCAGGCAATCTGGGTATTTTAAAGTAGCAGTGCTTCACAGTTTATTGCTTGTTCGTGTGTGTGTATATACATATATACATGTGCATATATAATATTAGACAGCCCATTATAGCTGTAGCATCACAGGTCAAACAGAGCCGTAGAAAGCTTTTTGTAGTGAGCATGGATGACATGGAGACTCAACCCTGGGTGATCGAGATCCCTGAGGACTGATCTTAACATGGTTGATACTTCTCTTTGTTGTGGATTATATGCGACCATGCAGGACCCAGCCGAAAGTTTTGACAAGAAGCGGAGCAACGAGAGTGCATCGCGGATGCATGATTTGGTGTACTATTCTGTATGTGTGCTTATTTCACCATATGATGCATGATCACCACATATTGCATATATGAGGTCGCTTCTACGACCGGGATCCACCCTCCAAAGAGGTTGCGGGCAAAGACGATTCTTTGCTGCATACATTGTACTTCTAGGTCTTCGACAGAGATTCAAAAGCTGCTTCCATTAAGGCCGACCCGGGTATGCAGTGGAAAGCCGGATGATGCGAAGGCAGAAGAGGAGTGTAGATAATATCGTATTTTCGTATATATGCCTTATAAGCCATGTACAAACCTTGAAACCCCGAATGTCTGTTAGCCCCCAACGTTCGAAGGACCCACAGTGGACAGAATGGCCGGCTTGGGAGGTCGCGAGATGTGTGTAACCCTAAACCCTATATTGGTGTGCACGTGTGTGTGTGTGTGCTCATGACTGCGCGAGGCGGAGGTTCCCAAAGGTTCGGCAGATCATGCCTGGTGGCCAACCGAGGACAGGAAAAATTATTTCTAGTGTTTTGCATGATGCCTGGGTGTTGCAGGACGATGCTGCGAATGATTGGAGCGGCTGGACCCAGGATTGGAGATTTCATGCCAGAGTGTTGTGTGTGTGTGTGTATGTTAGTGTGTTGCTTGAGTTACTGTACCAGAACGGGCATGTGTGCTATTTGAGTTAACACGAGGACGAAAGCGCCGATGGCAATGGGGGCGACTGGTCAAGCAAGGGCAAGAAGGCCGGGATAACAAAATGATATTATACTTGAACAGTTACTAGATAGTTTGCAGGACGAAAGCACCGATGATGATTGGGGCGCCTGGTCAAGTACGGGCAAGAAGGCTGGGAAGCTAAAATATTGACTGATATTAGAATAGCTTGTATACACATAGCTTGCAGGACCAAAGTGCCAGTGCCAATGACGACTGGGGCGACTGGTCAAGAACGGACGAGAAGGCTGGTAAGATTAAAAGTTGATTGGTGTTATAGAATATTACGCATAGCTTGCAGGACCAAAGTGCCCATGGCGATTGGGGCGACTGGCCAAGCAGCACGGACAAGAAGGCCTGGGAAGATTAAATGTTGGTTGATAATTAGCACATATATGTATATACATACCTTGCAGGACGAAAGTGCCAATTGCGATTGGGGCGACTGGTCAAGCACCACGGACAAGAAGGCAGGGAAGATTAAGTATCGATTGATATTAGAATAGATTGTACGCATAGCTTGCAGGACCAATTGAGTGCCAATGGCGATTGGGCGGACAAGAAGGCCTGGGAAGATTAAATGTTGATTGATAGTTAGCACAGCTATACATACCTTGCAGGACGAAAGTGCCGATGGTGATTGGGGCGACGTCTGGTCCAGCACGGACAAGAAGGCTGGGAAGATTCACTATTGATTGATTGTAGAACAGCTACATAGCTTGCAGGACAAAAGCGCCGATGGCGATGGGGGCCCATGCTCAGGAACGGACAAGAAGGCTGGGAAGATTGAATATTGATTGCTAGAACAGCTACATAGCTTGCAGGAGGACAGCACCGATGAGGATTGGGGCCCATGGTCAAGAACGGGCAAGAAGGCTGGGAAGAGAAGGTACTTATACTAGAACAACTCCAGATCCCACCCTTGGTTTGCATGAGGTTCCCGATGGCAGGGCATCGCCAGAGTGGGTTGACTCGTCACCCACTAAGGACGGGGAGATCGATGTCATGTTGCTTGAGTTATAGCTTATAACTCATGATTGCAGGACGCAAATGCCGATGATGAGGAGGCCACTCAGATAACTATAATAGCTCCAGATCCCACCCCTTAGTCTTCATCTGGTTCTCAGGTCACCACGTGGACGGCTGCAGAGTGGGCTGCGTGGGAGGCAGTACAGATAGAGTTGAATCATCCGAAGTAGAAAATCGCACCAGTAGTAATCGTTCTTCTTTATTGTATCCCATGGAGGCTGAAGAGAAAGAGACCCCGACCGAGAAGGAGGCTTCCTTATGTGTCGTATATATGAGGTACACAGAGTCTGAATGCATCGCCAGGAGCCACGGCCCAAAAAGATTATCGTGGTCGAGCGAGTCAAGGTATCGTGCATGATTTGAGTCGTGTTCTTGTATAAGTCCAAACCTAAGCATGAATAGATTGATAGTTGGATATAGGGTTCTTGATCAGGATGATGATGACCAAGGGTGGGAGGTCGATGAGGCCGAGTGGCAGGGTCCAGGCTGGGAGTATGGGAGAGAGAGAGAGAGAGAGAGAGAGAGAGAGAGAGAGAGAGAGAGAGAGAGAGAGAGAGAGAGAGAGAGAGAGAGAGAGAGAGAGAGAGAGAGAGAGAGAGAGAGAGAGAGAGAGAGAGAGAGAGACTGGTTGGTATTGACATTATATATGTAAGTACGATCCCATATCATTGAGGACTCTCCGGAGAATGCTGATGGCGATTCGGCTGGAGCTTGGCCGGAGGCGATCACCGATCACGATGGTTATTGAATAACTATATAAGTTAAATCGTGGCCAGGACCCATGGCCTGAAGACTGCGAGAAGCAGGCTGCATTCATGATATGAAACCATAAAGAAGTTTCTCCTGGAAGTATACCTGCCAGGCAATCCACGCGGAGAACACGTGGGCTGATGGAGATGGCAGCTTGCATGGTATGCTTTATTATCTGTTGTCGTATTCATATAGTGAATATATAGTCTGGCTGGATGAGTGTGGCAGTCCCATATCCAAGGAGCTTTGGATGCCGAAGAGCCCCCGAAGCAGGCACGACTCGTAGTTATATACGAGTATAAACGGAATATCATCGGGGGTCGTTTGCCAGGAGCTGCAAAAGAAAGGGGACACGAGAACCGACAAGCGCTTTGAAGGGCCCCCGAAGCAGGCACGATTCGTATATATATATATATATATATATATATATATATACGAATGTAAACAAATATCATCGGGGGTCGTTTGCCAGGAGCAGCAAAAGAAAGGGGAAACGAGCATCGAGAAGCGCTTTGGCCTTTGCACACAAGAAGGGATGCAGGCGCTGTTCGGCAACAGCCAAAAGGAACCTCAGCAAAAGCGGTCTTAAACATACATGTCGTTTATGTGCTGCTGAGATTTAGAGACAGATCGAAAGAGAAAGAGAGATAGAGCGAGAGAGAGGCAGGGGGTTATAATGATAGGTGACGCTGTGCAAGTGAGGACAAGGATGGCGATGCTGAGTGGAAAGGATGGCCGTCCTCATCATGGGAAGAGCTTTGGCTGAACCTGGTAATATATAGATCGTTCACCTGTATGATGGATTCTGACAATTAATCTCAGGGCGATGATCATGATGAGTGGAAGCAATGGCCGGATGAGTGGAAGGAATGGCCGGATGCACTTTGGTTGCAGATGTTGCTTCCGCGGGTTCGGGGTTGATGTGGGTCGGATTATTACTACAGTACAAACAGACCTCAAACCACATTATAATGCCGAAACCCTAAACCCACGAAGTAAAATCCCCCAAACCCTCACAAAACCCAAACCCACGAACCTCTGGAATCGAGTGGTGTGGTGTGTGGACCCAGGCGTCATGGAACGATGACTGGGAGCCACCAGCAGAGCTCCGGCAGCATTTATGTGTTTGCACACAGAGTAACAGGTATATATATATATGTGTGCACTAGCTCCTATATCCCACCACCATCCCCGGATCTCCACCAGGACGATAGTAGTACAAAAGTAGATAGCTAGCGCGCTAGCCGAGCGACGACCAGACGAACAAGCAACACAGCTAGCACGGACGTTCTTTTGTCTGGAGTGGCAACTATCCCAGGTTGCCTGGAGATAACTGATAGCCTTCGGCTATCTATCCCCAGGGGGGGCAGGGTGGGTACTTCAAAATTACCCCCCCTGATGGGGGACTTTATCCAGAATGGCAACGGTCACACACCGTCGTAGCCATTCCAAGTCACAGCTATCCTGTCTTCGCATGTCAGAGGCAACTCTCCTGCGAGCGACGATAGCGAACGAAACTTCGTTTCTAGCGAAGCTACCTTCGATAGCTCCGAGTAGTAATAGGTTAGCTAGCACACATAGTCGTAACTCGTTCCTCGTCACGAGGTACGTGCACTAGCTCCTATATCCCACCACCATCCCCGGATCTCCACCAGGACGATAGTAGTACAAAAGTAGATAGCTTGCGAGCTAGCCGAGCGACGACCAGACGAACAAGCAACACAGCTAGCACGGACGTTCTTTTGTCTGGAGTGGCAACTATCCCAGGTTGCCTGGAGATAACTGATAGCCTTCGGCTATCTATCCCCACGCATCGCCACTCAGGCTACCAGGGATCTAGCTTTCTGGCCTTACGGCTAAACTTGGACACCCTATCCGGGGGCCCTCGCTTTCGCGTGCCTAGCTCCTGGTAGAAGCTATCTGCATGCGCGAGTAGCCGGCCCAGAACACGCCACTGGAATTCCTCTCCTTTCAGATCTATCCTCTGAGAGGGATCGAATTCCTTGAACTCCTCGTTCGTGAGTTCATCCGCTAGCTGGTTGATGTCTCTCCGTATCCACTGGAGCTGTAGCTCACAGTTTTTCTGGGATAGCTCTTCTGCTATCTCCATTAAAACTAGCATGGAAGGATACTTGGTCGTCATAGCCTTCTTCACAAGTGCCTCTTTTTTGCTTGTTGAGTTCTCGCGCCGCTCACGCAAGCGTGAACGACGTGTCAAGCTTCAGCCTTCTGGGATACAAGTATCGCAAAACACTGTACTGCAAAGGATACGAGTATCTAAATAAACCTGTACAGGATGCCGGCTCGCACGGTTGCCAGAGGTCCGACGTGAGAGTCTTCGGCACTCGAGTGAAAAGAAAGACTCGTTTTGCTACGTTTGCAAGCAGCATCGAGAGCCTACAACTTTCAAGCATGTGGCCTAGGAGTTCGGGGTGTACAGGGGGAACTCGGCACACATGAAAGTGAGCGGTTTGCTCAACTGTTCTTCTACGACTAGTCCGGCAAGCAGTACTTGAGGACCCTACAAAAACTGTACACCAGCAGTTCAGTCGAGACGGCGTTGTTTGAGTTCAGTTCACCTCGCCAGCAGCCCACAGCAGCGCCAGCAGCGCCGCAGCCGCACAGCAGCAGCAGCCCAGCCAGAGCCAAGGAGTCGTAGTGCCGACGAGTAGTGGCAGGCAGTGGTACCACCCTCAAAGGCGGTTCGTAGTCGCGAGACCAGGGAAGCCCTGAGCTCGCAGTTGGCAGTCAGCAGCGAAGACCACCCCAGCGCCCAGGCAGCTCAGCAGCCCAGGAAGGTTAGAGGCTCACCGTCGAACGAGAGCCGAGTAGTAGCCTCGTAGCCAGCAGTCAGCAGCAGAACAGCACCCCAGCGCTCCGGCGGCTCAGCGGCAGCAGCCCACAGCAGCCCAGGGCACGGAAGTGCCAGCACACAAGAGGGTTGGGAAACCGGGCCTAAACCCTAGTACTAAACCCCAGCTCCCGGGGGAGAACTGGGGTCACAGACACTTGCGGTTCCTGCACGGGGAAGGCTTTCAAGAAAACAGTGGAGTCGCTCAGCTGCTCTAGCAGAAGCTTTGACGGCAGCTTCCTCCCAAGCTTTAACACGAGCGGCCTCGGCTACCCATTTTTCTCTAAGGGACCCTCTAAGCCTCCTAGCGACACAGTCTTTGGCAGCACGGTCGGCGGCCTCATTTAAGGATCTCAAGAAGGCAGCGCTGAAAGAAGAGTGAGTTGGGGTCCATGACGCCTTGCGATTGTGTGCCGGAACCCATATGAAATGAAGATCAATTCCAAAGCAGCGGATCTCGGCAGAAAGCTGCTGGAAATGAACAGAAAACAATGGGAGAGATGGACACGAAAAGCGAGCCTGAAGGGCCGCTGAACAGTCAACAGCTATCGTGATGCTCCCCCTGGCTCCACGCGAGGCGGCCACAACCACAGCTTTAAGGGCCAGGAGTAGAGCGCATAGCTCGGCTCGAAACGAAGACTGGTCTTCACAACTGTTGCCACCAGCGAACGCTTTGGCACATTGATGCACCACGACCGCATGGGCCGCCACGCCGTCCTTTGCAGAACCATCGGTCGCAATCGCAATGGACGTGGACTCCTGCAGCTCGGTCTGAATGGCTTCAGCCGCTTCGTCAATCAGCCCCTCAGCATCCACAGCGGGCGGTGGAAGCGGAGGCTCGTCGAGGTGTTTGGCCAATAACCGCTCCTCGCCCCGGTGCTTGGGCCCATCGAGGCCACTCCTGAGGTCGGCAGTGGAGGGGCACACCCAAAGCAAGTGAGCACGGCTCGGTCGCAGTGCCCCGCACAGGCACCGGAGGTGCAGCTGGTCACGGCGAGGCCCCACACTTTTCTCGAAGTGCCACGTAGTGCCACCTGAAAGAAAGGCCGCTCTACGATGGAAAAGCGACGATCTGTCAGCGAGAACTCGTTTGTGGCCTTGCAGTCGGATTCGAAAGCCCCGCGGAGGTGCCGGCAGCTCGAGACCACGAGCGACACCATCCTCAAGTACCCTGTGCATGCTCTGGGACACTCTTCGGCAACGGCTGAGGTATTGTTGACGGTAGAACCCTTCAAGCCAATCCTGAACGATGCGAAAACTTTCAAAGCCGATGTGAACAGTTCTGAGGGCTCCAGCAGCATCCCTTCTGCACAAAGCAGTGGCGTCGCGAGAGAACCACCAGCCCGTGCGAGCCAGCAGGCTCTCAGTCTCAGGAAGTTATCGGGACTTCTTCCAGCCATACCGGCGGCTTAGAGACCCATCGCCAAAACAGTCGGCACAGGCCCAGGTCGAGGGCGAAAGAAGGTTCTAACCCCCATCCTAGCAACTCGTAAAAGGCAACCGTGGCCACATCCCCACCGTACCCCGAGCTAAACAAGAAGCGAACCTCGTGCTGCACGGC